AAAGCAATCACGGACAATATTTAAATGAATGGGCTTAGCTGCATTCCAAGAAAACCTTGTTTACAAAAACAGGCAGCAGGCTATAGTTTGCCAACTCCTGCTCCAGACGTAAATCTTTCACCACAGTCCTTATCCTTCCATGTTGGCTTACACCCAGACCAGTTCTGTCCATTCCAGCCCCCGCATGGCCCCATTAGGCATTTTAACGTGCAGCATTTGATCTAAGTTCTTTTTAAGCTTAGACTCCGGGAAACAAAAATCTAGGAACCCTAGTAAACTGGTTTCTTGTGTGAATGAGAGGTAAGCACACTTCTTCAACAATTATTGCTGAGCACTTACTGGTGATACAAAAGTGAATGAAAGAGATAAACATTTTTTCCTTCAATTATGGAATTTCATTTCAGTGGGGAATTCACAAGAAACAAATACAGCCCTCAGTATCTCTGGGATCTGCATTTTTGGATTCAACTAAGCAGAGATGGAAATTTCCGAGGAGGGCAGGGATGGTTCCTATGAAGCAATTAAGTGCTCAGAGCAATCCTTTAACTGTTTAAAGGGAGCATAAAGTTCAATTCACCTAGCATTTATATTGTATGAGGTGTTATAAGTAATCTAGAGATCATTTAAAGTGCACAGGAGGGCGTGCACAGTTTATAAGAGTCCTGGTGTGGCGCTGGGGGGTAATGCACTGGAATGCCGAGTCTGTTTGAACCGCAAGGTAGGTGGTTCAGGATCACCAGCCACTCCTCTGAAACCCTATACAGGGTCTCTATGATTTGGAACCAACTCGACACAACAACAAAACTCATAGTTTAGATGCAAATACCACACCATTTTATATAAGGGACTTGAGCATCCACGGATTTTGGCATCCTGGGGTGGGGGGCAGGTTTTGGACAACTGTAATGTCGGGTTCATGGATGTATGCATGTTGTTGTTATTAGATTCTGTCAAGTCAGTTCAGGTCATAGTGACTCTACGTACACCACAACAAAACACTGCCAGTCCTATGCCATCTTCAAGTTTGAAGTCATTGTTGCAGCCCTGTGTAAATGCGTTTCATTGAGGGTCTTCCGCTCTTTTACTGACCCTCTACTTACTGAGCCCCGGAAACCCTATACAAGGTTGCTATGAGTCGGAACCGACTCCACTCCACAGCACTTAATAACAACAAAAACAAGTTAGCAAGTAAAATGTCCTTCTCCAGCGACTGTTCCCTTCTGATAACATGTCCAAAGTATGTGAGACAAACTCTCACTATCGACACCTCTAAGAAGCATTCTGGCTATACTTCTTTTAAGACAGATTTGTTTGTTCCTCTTGAAGTCTGTGATTTATTTAATATCACCGACACCATAATTCAAAGGAATCAATACTTCTTTAGTCTTCCCTATTCATTGTCCCACTTTCGTATGCATATGAGGCAATTGAAAATGCTAGGCAATTGAAAATAACATCTTTGTATTTTTAAGCGATGTTTTACAGCAGATTTGCCAATACAATACGTCTTTTGAGATCCTGACTGCTTACAATGTGTGTTGACTGTGGTTCCAAGTAAAATTAAATCCTTGACAACTTCAATCTTTTCTCCATTTATTGTGATGTTGTTTATGGCCCAATTGTGAGGATTTGTTTTTTCTTCTTTATGTTGAGGTACAATCCATATTAAAGGCTGTTGTCTTTGATCTTCATTGGTAAGTACTTCAAGTCCTCTTCTCTTTCAGTAAGCAAGATTGTGGTATCTACATAGTACAGGTTGTTAGTGAGCTTTCCTCCAATCCTGATTCTTCGTCATATCGTCCAGTTTCTCAGATTATTTGCGCAGCATGCAGATTGAATAAGTATGGTGAAAAGATATAATCCTGGTGCACACCTTTCCTGATTTAAAACCGTTCACCATCTCCTTGATCTATAGACAGGTTCTACCTGAGCACAATGAAAAGTTCTGAAATTCCCATTCTTTGAAATGTTGTCCATAGTTTGTGATCCATGTAGTTGAATGTCTTTGCATAGTTGTGCGTGTATACATATGTCAAAATGTGTCAAAATTGTATACTTGAAATGCATGCAGTGTATTGTATGTCAATTATACTTCAATAAAGCTTGAAAACCAGAGAAAATTAAGAAAGAACCTAATGAAAACATATTTAGAAAGGTACCAAAGTGGAACTTGATTTTTGTTTCCTGGAGTCTTGCTCCAAACACGTATGATTTTTAACGTGTAGTGTTCTTTTTAATGTGCCACCTGGGACTCCTGGTATGGCGCTGTAGGCTAAGTGTTGGACTATGAACCAGCAGTTTAGACCCACCAGCTGCTCCTTGGAAACCCTATACTGCATTGCTATGAGTCGTAATCAACTTGTTGGCACTCAACAACGATTACTATTTTTGG